GGATACGACAGTAAAACACGACGTACGGAGAGGGTTGATTTTACCTCAGATGCCAGGTGACTCCCACCTCCTTCACTGGGAAATATTTCCACTTTTGTTCAAGATACACGGGTATTTTTTCCATTAAAAGAAGAGTAAATGAACAGATTTTAAGATCACACCAATAACACAACTCAATATGCCCCAAAAAATTGATGAACACCTGATTCCACCGAAAGTTTGACACACACAGAAGTTGAAAGACACAAGGGTGGACACATACATACAGAAGTTGACAGACACAGAAGTTGACACACACATAAGTTGACATACACATAGAAGTTGAAACACACACAGAAGTTGACACACACAGAAGTTGACAGACACAGAAGTTGACACACACACACACAGAAGTTGACACACACAGAAGTTGACACACATGGAAATTGACAGACACAGAAGTTGACACACACAAAAGTTGACACACACAAGGGTGGACACACACAGAAGTTGACACACACAGAAGTTGACACACACAGAAGTTGACACACACACAGAAGTTGACACACACACAGAAGTTGACACACACAGAAGTTGACAGACACAGAAGTTGACACACACACAGAAGTTGACACACACAGAAGTTGACACACATGGAAATTGACAGACACAGAAGTTGACACACACAAAAGTTGACACACACAAGGGTGGACACACACAGAAGTTGACACACACAAGGGTGGACACACACAGAAGTTGACACACACAGAAGTTGACACACACAGAAGTTGACACACACAAGGGTGGACACACACAGAAGTCGACACACACAGAAGTTGACACACACAGAAGTTGACACACACAAGGGTGGACACACACAGAAGTTGACACACATGGAAGTTGACAGACACAAGGGTGGACACACACAGAAGTTGACACACACAGAAGTTGACACACACACAGAAGTTGACACACACAAGGGTGGACACACACAGAAGTTGACACACACAGAAGTTGACACACACAAGGGTGGACACACACAGAAGTTGACACACACAGAAGTTGACAGACACAAGGGTGGACACCCACTACCTGAGAAATACCAAAAATCATCTCAGCTGGGATAGATCACAGGCCTCATTCATTTATCACTTATTTCAAAAAGGATTTCTCTCGTAGAATGTCTTTTTTTAGGACTTTGACTGTTCTCCTCAGAGAGAGGAAGACCTTTTTCATTCACAGACAAGAAAACAGTAAATGGATTTTTAAAAACCCTATCCGTACGCCCTGGGGTCATTTCGTACCCCCGGGGTTGTATTCTTCACATTTTAGAATATTTCTAGTGCGAAGATCTCTTTGATTACTTTGAAACATTCAGCATTCCTCTAAAAATCATTTTGACAGACTGCTATGCAAAGCGTACTGATCGGATTAACGAGTAAATTTCCTCTTTGGAAAGTGGTGGCACAGAGTTCCCCACATCGTATGGATACGACAGTAAAACACGACGTACGGATAGGGTTAAGTGGTGGCACAGAGTTCCCCACGTCGTACGGATACGACAGTAAAACACGACATACGGATAGGGCTAAGTGGTGGCACAGAGTTCCCCACGTCCTATGGATACGATAGTAAAAAACATGACGTACGGATAGGGCTAAAACCCATCCTCTCACAGTAACAAATTAATTAACTTTCAGAAACAGTAAGTAACAGCTAGGTACATCACACCAAAAAGCACTAAGAAAAACAGTAGTATATTCTAGCTGTATAAAACGTCCGTACATCAAACACTCATTTTGATTAGCTTCACAAAACGCTCACTAACGTAATAACGTTGTACGTTTCTTTGGTACTGGTTTAGTTGAAGGTCTACCGCACTACAGCGGTCTAGCACAAGTCCTGCACAATCAATCGCGGTCTACTGTGATCTACATGTTCTAGCGTAGCGTAAATTGTGCCCGATCGGCCACCATGGTGGTCTCAACAGCGCACAGGTCATTTAGACCAAAAGCAGTGGCGTAATACAATTGCTGTGTGCGTGTGTGTGTGTGTGTGTGTGTGGGGGGGGGGGGAGAGGCAGATTGCTTTATTTTGCAGTGCCATTTAAATCAAAGAATTTTGCGGTGAGGGTGTGTGTGTGTGTGCATGTGTGTGCTCACCCGAACCCCCTTCACAACCTCCCCCCCCTCCAAAGATAAAACAATAAACTACAACCAGCATTCTACAACGACAAATGACGTTCCCAAGGCTGTATAAAACTGCCCCCGTGGTTTTATGCACCCCGCATAAATTAGCAAAATTTGACAATTTTTTGCATAATTTCTGATTATTTTCCTTTATCACTCTTTGTTAAAATTAACAGAATCGCATAACTTCACATTTTTGGGCTCAGTTTGCACAATTTCATAATAAAAATTTTTTTTTTGCATAAAACCGCGGGGACAGATAAAACAGTCAAATGGCGCTCATACGACCTTATGCAGTAGCGAGCGTCGTAAAACCTCTACTAAAACTAAAAAACAGTCGACGACTTTGACCAGCCTGGAGGTAGACCGTCTGCTAAACCAGAAAACGTTTGCAGCAGACCTTCGACTAAACCAGCATCATACATAATATATTTCTCGTAAGCCACAGCTGTCAGATGTACAAACCACTTCTTGTACAAAAGGTGGGTGCCTGCATGACGCATAAGGAAAACTGCATTCATACAAAAAGGCTATTATTACATTCGCGATTACATTCATACAAAAGGCTATTACATTCATACAAAAAAGCAATTACATTCCTACAAAAAGGCTATTACATTCATATATATAAAAGGCATTTACATTACATACAAAAGTAAGGATGACTCCATTCTTACAAAAAGGGAGCTAAATCCATGCAAAAGGCAACTCCACTCATCCAGCACCACAAGTACAAGGCAAAAAGCATCCATCTATTAATACAGGTTAGATTTATTTAATAAATAATTCTCTGTACATAAAACAAAGGAACAAAAAAAAACTTGACTTGGAAAGACGGATTATTTCGTTAACTTTCAGGCATGACACCATGAAACACAGTGGAGCGACACTGGGAAATACAGTGGCACGACACTGGGAAACACAGTGGCGCGACACTGGGAAATACAGTGGCGCGACACTGGGAAATACAGTGGCACGACACTGGGAAACACAGTGGCGCGACACTGGGAAATACAGTGGCGCGACACTGGGAAATACAGTGGCGCGACACTGGGAAACACAGTGGCGCGACACTGGGAAATACAGTGGCATGACAAGTGGCGCGACACTGTGAAATACAGTGGCATGACAAGTGGCGCGACACTGTGAAATACAGTGACATGACAAGTGGCGCGACACTGTGAAATACAGTGACATGACACCATGAAACACAGTGGCGCGACACTGGGAAATACAGTGACATGACAAGTGGCGCGACACCGTGAAATTCAGTGACATGACACCGTGAAATGCAGTGGCGCGACACTGGGAAATACAGTGACATGACACCATGAAACACAGTGGCGCGACACCGTGAAATACAGTGACATGACAAGTGGCGCGACACCGTAAAATACAGTGACATGACACCGTAAAATACAGTGGCACGACACTGGGAAACACATTGGCAGAGTTGTGGAAAGACTTCAACAACTGTTTCTTTGATGAAAGTTTCAGGAACAATTCAATAGGCTAAAACAAGTCAACACAGATGAGAACTTCCTTTGAAAGTTTTTCGCAACAATGGCCTAAAATTATTAACTGACGACGAAAACGCAAACTTCTTTCCAAGTTTTCGGAACACTGGCCTAAAATAAGCAAACACTTATAAAAACACAAACTTTCTTTGAAAGTTTCACTACCGTACGTAAAAGTGAGCTCAGGCTCACAGTATAATGTCCAACATTTCCCAGTGGCACAGCGTTTAGGCGGGCGGTCACAGGGGTTGGTATGTCCTTGGTATGTCCTTTCACAATACTGACACGCTACCTCAAAATTACAAAGTCCTACCTGCTCAGTGCCTGGTTTTGAGAAATCTGACGTATAACATTTTGAGCTGCACAACATGTCAAGCTTCTTCCAATGCAATTCTTTGAACATCATGATAACGACTCTATACAATTTACGATTTTAATAGAGTGGATAAAACATTTTGGTTTCTGACCTCATGGCCTTAGTAACTCAAAACGGCCAAAAACGGGTCAGACAGAACTTTGTAATTCTGAGGTAGCGAACTTCGACCACCAAAACTTTGTGTCTGACTCAACCTTCTCCGGACTTGCTCACTTTTCAAACTTTAACTTGACCTTTTACAATCCGGCGGCCATCTGAGTTCAAGCCCTTCGGCCTGTAAACTTTGTCATAACCCAGTCAGGGACATCTATTCTTTCAGTTTAAGTTACATTTAATTCCAAACTGTATTGTACTCTGGCAAATAGTCAGTTGTCCCATTTATTAAATTGCCATTAATCAGATTACTGAACCACAAACAAAAATTCCATCAACTGGGACTGGTTTTGGTCAAGGATAGTAAACATCCTCTCAAATTTCCCAACTGTCAAATCCGGGACCGTCCCAGGAATGTGGGACAGTTGACGAGCCTGCCTTATAGGCCTTGTCCTTTCTGCACACCGGACACACGCGCCTGAGTGCGTACAGCTGTGTTAACGCAGCAGTCGGCCCAAAGGAGGGCTCCTGGACGCGGGTCTCGAAGGCTCAGGGGAAGAAAGGCTCAAACGGTTAAGATGTCGACATGATTACAACGGCATTTCCTCACTTTCCTCCCCTTCTTCCCTCTCGGGAACCCTTAATTATCGCGCAATAGATATTTAAAATTCCACTTTTAAGCGGACTGCTTTCACTCAGAGACGGGTAAGTGTTTCGAAAACCGTCAACACACACCAGATTCCAATGGGGACACTGGCGTCGTTAGTTACAGCCAAAAGAATGATGTGGGGGTTTATTACCCCCCCCAGGGGCCTTCCTCCTTCCAGCCGGCAGCGGCTCGCTCTCTCACCGACAGTCTCGACGGTCAACGGTCGCCGGGGGCGGTCATCAGGAGAAGGAGAAGTCCTGGAACTCATCAAGGCTGTCCTGTCTGATGGGTGTCATCTGTGAGTTGGGCTGCCAGTCCACGCCAAGCATCCGGCACGGGCCTTCCAGCAGCTGGTCAAAACAAAACAAGGGTAAGTAAGTAAGTCAGTTTATTCAGTGTTTAAGGCCATCGGCCCACATTAAAAGTAAAGTTGTTCCCGCATCCGATCCGGACATTGGGGATTGCCTTGTTAGTGAGACAACTTCCTGGGCCTTCGGCATATTGTGGAAGGGTTGGCCCACATCACATCATATAAAACACTCATTTGTTAAATAGAGTTTCCATAAAATGAAAAGAGAGTAACATACAAAAGAGGAGGAGGACAGATAAAGACGACGGATGTATGATAGGAATGAAGTTGGGCTGCCAGTCCACACCCAGCATCCGGCATGGGCCTTCCAGCAGCGGGCTATAACAACACAAGAGTTAGTAAGTAAGTCAGTTTATCCAGCAGTTCACAGGAGAGTGACAAACATACAAAAGAAGTAGAGGAAAATGATGGAAGTAAGGATGAGAAAGGAAAAAGCAGCAGTTCCCCCTATGTTGTTCCGGCACAGTATGAGCATGACATAGATAAATCAGCCCATTTTCAATTTTACTGTGCATAAGAACATGTTAATGTCTCAACTTTGGGAATGACCTAAGACCACAGTAATTGACCCACCTCACTGATGTCCAACTCGTCAAAGAGCACCCGCCTACCACCCACTACCACAGTAATTGACCCACCTCACTGATGTCCAACTCGTCAAAAAGCTCCTGGATGAACCGGCGCGCCAGCAGGCGGTACGAGTAGGTGGACAACAGGTAGCACACCTCCGAGTAGAAGCAGACGTCGCGGAAACATTTGGGGAATCTTTGCTTCAGGCTGGACAACGAAAGGGACAGAGCATGTTTATTTTTTAAAATTTTATAGTAAAGGGTTTTACGGCGCTCGCAACTGCATAAGGTCATATGAGCGTCAAGGGGTGGGTGTCAACAGAGAAGTCCTTACAGGGAATCAGACTTACTCTGCTCACCTCTCTAGCTTCAACAGCACAAAGTCTGCTTCGACTATCAAGGCACACCGGAAATAGCAGGTCACAAGAGAGTGACAAACATACAAAAGAAGTAGAAGAAAATGACGATAGTAAGGATTAGGAAAGAAAAAGCAGCAGTTCCCTGTTGCAGATCAGGCAGTTATGAGCGTGACATGAGTCAGCCCATTTACAGTTCTACTGTGCTTGAACGAGAAATGTCTCCCCTTTGGGAATGGCCTAAAGACACTTCAGTCAGTGGCACTGCCCTAGGGGCAGGTGGTTGACAGATGCATTGGATGTGATATGTGTGTTATAGTCAACTTTATATCTCTCTTCATATTGAATTTTTTTTTAAAAGAAAGAATATATAACTTAAATTGAATGTATATCTATTCACATGTGTTTTACCATTCCTGTACAGCCAAGAAAAGTTTCCTTCAAGGACAATAAAGTATCATCTCATCTCATCTTATCAATCCTATCTTATCATATCTATCTATCTGATCTTATCTATCCTATCTTATCTGATCTGATCTTTTCTTATCTTATCTATCCTATCTTATCTGATCTGATCTTTTCATATCTTATCTATACTATCTTATCGTATCTATCTTATCTTGTCTCATCTGAACTAATTGGATCTATCTTATCTTATCTCATCTTATCATATATATCTTATCTATCTAATCTTATCTGGTCTGATCTTATCTATCCTATCTTATCATATCTATCTTATCTTGTCTGATCTTATCTATCCTATCTTATCGTATCTATCTTATCTTATCTCATCTTATCTTCTATCTGATCTTACCTGAGCAGTCCGGCCTCGTACGAGCGGAGCCCCAGCGAGCTGCCCAGGTTGATGATGAGCCTCATGACCTCCAGGTTGATCAACTCGCGACCTTCCACGCTGTCCTCGCTCATCTTCTTGTCCCCTGCACAACCGTTTCACAAACACCAGACGTTTAATGGGATCGTTTTTACAACGACAAACGACAATCTTGATTCATATCCAAGTAAGGGAGAAATTTGCCAGAGTTGTTTATAATGGCAGTGGTGTTACAAAGTGCACGTGCACTCACGCATACACACAACAGGAAAGGACTTGAATATTATTGCTGAAACACCTCTGCTCCACAAACTAACGCTTTCTCTCTCTCTCTCTCTCTCTCCTCTCTCTCACCTCTCTCTCTCTCTCTCACCTCTCTCTCGCTCACACCTCTCTTTCGCTCTCTCTGAAGATATCCACACAAGTAAGATCATTTAGGAGGTGGACTGCATTGACTCTGCTTGTAACAATTTAATTTCTTGTTTTAATGACTCTCTACTGAATCACTGTACTGAATTGTATTGTACTCTGAAATATGGACCTGTGGCTTTAAGCTCCTGAATAAACTACCACAATATTTGTCATATGTAAAGAAGTGGAATCAATGAACACAACATAAACACTAAACTGACTGATTGCTTGAGTGACTGAAATATCTCAGACACTTTTTAAATTTCTAGAAGAGTGGTGCTCATGTCACAGAAGTAAAAAATCTGACGACAAAGAGTCAAACTGAGGCAAAATTCCAGCAACAAATATGTCATTCGACTGATGGTAACAGGGGGCACTCATCTAGAGGGGAAACAATCTAAAGTCATGGCAGACTTATAACTTTTCTGAAACCCAGTCAGGGACACTTTTTATAACATTAGATTACGTTACAACAGACAAAATTACATCAAGTGGAACTGGTTTTTGTATCGTGTTTGGAATGCCCTCTCAAATTCCTGATAGCTAAATCCTGGACCTGAATGGTAAATACGGAAACAGTTGGCAAGCCTGATCAATGGTGACAGTTCAAACATCAGTGGGGAAAGTGTCAAATGTCAGTGGAAAAGCATTGTCAAATGTCACAAATCGCTACACTGCTGCCTGCCATCATTTCTAAACATACAGTATATGCAGTTTTTACAATTGTACAGGAGAGCAAAAAACAAAGAAACTGAATGTTGTTAGCAATAAAACAACATGTGCTTGGAAGATAATAAGGAAGTTAGTAGAATCAAATTCGTATTCTTAAAACTATTGACTAGGGACGTTTGCAAAGAGTTTATGTTTTCTTGGTAACAATACTCAGTGTTTGGCTCTCCTGTAAAATTGTAAATATGGTGTGCTGACAAAATGAGTTACTTCTCCCAATCCATAAACGTAGACATCTGCCAAAAAATGGACACAGGGGTCAAATTTGTCGATTCTAAACCAATGCCATTCTTTTCAAGCTTAAAATGTCTTTGATCATTTCATAGTAATAAATTGTTCAAACTCAACCTATAAATTTGATGTATCTATTTCCATCGGGCTAAAATCCAAGAAGAAGCAACTCTTTTAGTCAGCACACACCATAAATACTGATTTTTCGAAACAACGGCAGCAGACTGGTCACACGGCTGTGAGGTCACCTGTTTCCTGCGAGCTGCTGTTGCTGGTGACGCTTCCCGGCGTGGCAGAGGACGACTGATCGTTGACGCTGCCGCCCCGCGACCGACTCAGCTTGTTGTGCACCGCGCCCTCGTGCTCGCCCTTACCCTCGTCGTCCGCCGTCGCTTCGCGGCTCTCGCCCTCTGGGAAATTTGTGTTTTTAGTTTTAGTAAGTGTTTTACGGCACTTGCAATATAATAAGGTCATATAAGTGCCGAAGATTAGAAGTGTTACAAGAGACTAACAAACACAAAAATAGAAGGAGGGGAGATAAAGACGATAGACGTTTGATAGGAACGAAGAAGCAAACCACACCAGAGCACCCGCCAACCACCCACTGGGAAATTTGTGAGACAACAGACAAAAGGGTACAGAATAATAATAATAATAAATAGCATTTGTATAGCGCATATCTCCACTCAACAGCAGGCTCTATGCGCTTTACACTATATTACTACCCCAGCAGACCATAGAACACTTCGAAACATTTTCAGCTTCCCGGGAAGCATACAGTGCAAGCAGCTGATTAAGCGCTCAAACACTAACAAACTGACAAGATCTTTCGCTGTCTACAGCCAGGTACCCATTCCCACCTGGGTGAAGTGAGGAAAATTCGTGTAAAGTGCCTTTCCCAAGGACACAACGTCGGGCCCTTGACGGGATTCGAACCCACGACCTTACGGTTGCGAGTTCGAGAGCCTAACCACTAGGCCACCGACGCCACCAGAAAAGTAGACACAAAATCCTGTAGACAAAGTTGTGACTGCACTCATGAAAAGCTTCAAGACCCTAATCCTCCGAGAAATTTGGGAGACAAAGGAAAAACAGTTCAAATTAGATGCAAAACTCAAATCTTGGAGAGAGTTCAGCTTGCAACTGCACTCGTGAAAAGCTTTATGATCCTTATCCTGTGAAAAATTTGTAAAACAATGAAAGATAATTCAGAAAGGAAAACCAACGACTCAGTTCCAAAGTATTTTACGATCGACACCATAGCTCATAATCATGAAAATCTGGCTCCATAATGTTCTCAAGAATACGGAATGTTATCTCCTGTTACATTTGGAGGTCTGAAGAGTGTGCAGTTTCGACTAAAAACTGAGGCAAAGATCAGCGCCATCAGAAATAGATATAAACAGATTTAATTCACACTGGATTTTGAGACTGAACACTGACCTTCGTCCTGCTAAAATAAAATGCCACTACACGGAATCACAGCTACCTCAGTTCATTTCTATACACATGAACAAAGACACACTGATAAACTGTTTTATAGGAAATAAGAGTCAGGCATGTTTGAGAGGCCCGGCTGTTGCAAGACCAGAGGCACAATCAATCTCACTTGAGGCAAAGGAAAAGTCACACATCTTTTAGTTTTAGTGGGAGTTTTATGGCACTTGCAACACAATAAGGTCATATAGAGGTGTTACAAGAGAGTAACAAACACAAAAAAGAAGGAGGAGAGATCAAGACGATAGATGTTTGATAGGAAAGAAGGAGCAAACCACACCAGAGCACCCGCCTACCATTCACTCACTCACACACCTTATGCCTTGTGTCTACTGCTGGTCTGCAGTATTCATGCATTGAATACCTATTATGTATCGCAGTATTCATGCATTGAATATATATATCAATCAACAACTCCAAATCTGCATCGCCATTTGAAAAGAGAGGATTATCATTCTCATCTCCATCTTTCCTCACCTTTCTTTTGGGTGGTAGGCAGGATCTTTTGCCGGTAATCACAACACAGCAAACAGGCAAACTTTGTGTGAGCGAAAGCCGTTTCTTTCTTCAGAGGAGGCACCATGGCTGATAAAGGCAAATCTGTCAATCAAATTACAAAATTACAGCACATCATAATATTAAATAATAATAGATAGCATTTGTACAGCGCAAATCCCCGCTCAACAGAAAGCTCTATGCGCTTCACAATCTATACTATTACCTCAGCAGACCCGAGAGCATTCTGAAACAGCCTCAACTTCCTGGGAAGCAAACATTTCAAATTGTTCCGAAGCTTTCACAATTAACGCAAAAACCTGAGTAGCAAATTAAAGTTTTGTTTTAAAACTTTGAAGCTGTCAGAGTCGTGATAGGCTTTTTCAGAGTCGTGATAGGCTTTTTCAGAGTCGTGATAGGCTTTTTCAGAGTCGTGATAGGCTTTTTCAGAGTCGTGATAGGCTTTTTCAGCTCCTTTCCTCACTCCGCTCAGAACAAACTGAGGGATATACAGTGAGTTAATTGCACTCATGTGCACACATGGATAGTCATTTAATGCACAGAAAAAGTCAGCGAGAAACATCAGAGGGAAAAAAAAAGAAGAAGGATCTACCAGAGGTGCCCTCAAACCACCAGCAAGACAAAACAGAAAATAAAAACACACCAAAAAAAAAAAAAAAAAAAAAAAAGAAACAAAAGAAGTGAGATCTACCAGTGACACCCTCCAACCATCCACTATCATAATCTAAGCCTGATTGTTTAATTTTCAAACATCGGGGAACAATCAATACTCACCTGCAGAAATATATATATATATATAAAACACATTTGTCCTATGTCTTTACATTAATGCTAACAGTTAATTTAAAATCCAAAATGCTGCACATGTTGTGACTAAGAGTAAAAAGTAAAGTTGTTCCCCCATCCGATCCGGACATTGGGGATTGCCTTGTTGCTAGTGAGACAGCTTCCTGGGCCTTCTGCATATTGTGGTAGGGTGGCCAGTTCCTTTGCACGCCGCTTTTACTTCCCCAACTCGAAGTCAGGTACCCATTACTGCTGGGTGGGCAGGAGGGGACGGAAAAAATCTGTGTCCGAACCGAGGCTCGAACCCGGACTTTCCACTTCGGAGACGAGCGCACTTACCGCTCCGCTACTCCACCCTGTAACTACTAAACACAAAAGCACCAGTTGATAGAAATGGGCAGGGAAAAAAACAAAAAACAAACTTAAAACAAAAAACAAAATAAAACCCCACTCACCTGCAGGGAAACCTGGCCCGCCCGGACGCAGCTGTGAGGCCATGACGCTGGACGACCGCTTGTCTTCCCCTTCCACGACCTGTCAGGATGAGAACAACAATTGTGTGCGTCACGATGCGGTGGAATCAGGCGCTCGTCAATTTTGAGGCATATAGAGTTGTTGGTATCATCTTAAAGCCTGTCCATTTGCCTTGCTTTTGATGAAAAAAATATCCATTTATCTGGGATACAAGTCAAGACATAGGAGGGGCTCGCCCGGTTTCAGAGGTAAACTTAGCGAGGAAATGGCCCCAAAAGTTGAGTTATTTCATTAGCTTGAGAGTCCGTGGAAACTGAAAATGCACATCTTTTATGCCTTTCATCAACGTTTTTCAGTAAAATCCATAAAGAAATGTGTTCTTTAATGGGCACAGAAAGTGTTGAGCCAAAAAAAAAAAATTCGATAAAAATTCCCAAACCTGCGGGAAAATGCCAGTTTCTTGACTTTGATTATTTTGACGAGCGCCTGATTTCTCCACCCTGCCTCACATATAATCATATTGTTTTGTTTGACTAAGAAAATAAATTCAGTGAATAACAGGCTTAGTCACAGTGGGTCCAGGACATTAAAAAAACCCAAGATTACTTAATATAAAAAAGTGTGAACTTCCAAGCACATCAATGGAACTCTAGCCTGTCAGTCAAGCAAACACAGTGCCTTAGCTCTTTATCTCCGTGGGGGGGGGGGGGGTAAACCGACTATGCCCAGGCCTCTTTTTGGAAGGTACTAAATCTAAAAATGATGAAAACGTCACTAAATCAGTCATTAAATCAAAACAAGTGAACCTATTTCGATAGTTCTTCATCCATCTAATGAATGAAATCTCGATGAAAGAAACCTGCTTTCAGCAATTGCTAAAAAGTAATTTGAGGTCGAAGTTGCCGTAAAGGAATGTGCCCCAGCCGCAGTCAGCGACTCACCGGCACAGCAGTTCCGACGGTGAGCCGCTTTGCCAGAGATAAAGAGTTAATACACCTACCCAATCAAACAAAACTCCAGCTTACCTCAAAGATCATCTTGATGTCTACTGGGAGGGAAATACCCACAAATCTGTTGCAAGGCGACAGCGGTTTGAAGGCGGCCCTGTTGAGGTTGCCGATGGGCGAGGCGGGGGCGTCCGGGTCTTGCAGAGAGGCACTGCTCACATTTCTCCTGATGCTGTGGGCCATCAAACCAATCAAGTTTGAGTACACACAAGCGCATTGATTTTTTAGTACGAGTTTTACGACACTTGCATCACAATTTAATAATGGAATAGAAGTGTGCCGAAAATTAGAGATGTGCAAAATGTGTGGGGGAAGCGGGACATGCTGTGAACAATTCCATTTTTCGTGTGAAGGAGATTTGTAGTATTTTTATATAAACTTATTCAGAAAAGTTTTTAAATCTAGCGTCAATTATTGTAAAAAATAAAAAAGATTAAGATAAGACAAATGAATATAAACTGCTGTGCAAAGTAAGGGTGACATTGATTCCCCAGTTAAAAAGATATTTGAAGATTAGCGCCACGAATTTTTGATCGTGCTCTAAGTAAGCTTTACGACTCTTTCCCCCCCCCCCCCCCCCCGATACTTTTCCCGTGACAGTCCCACTCACCTGAGCCACATATTGCTGTCTACGCTGAGCTCTGAGTCCTGGCTGACTGTGCGGATGATGGAGGGCGGAGCCTCTAGGTGAGTCCCGCCCTCGCTGTCGCCCTCCGAGCTGTAAGTCCTCTGCCGCTTGATGGCCCGCAGCGCTGCGTAGCCCACCGTGTCCCGGTACGACGTGTACGACTGGCCGCCGTTGCTCATCCCGGCCACCGCGGGCGAGGCCGAGCGGCGCTTAGCGCTGGGGATGCGAGAGAGACGGAAGACGCTGCGAGACAACGCCGAGGGGTGCACGGGCTCTTTGGCCTGCTCTGCGCCCGTCAGGAGGTTGGAGGAGGGGGCCAGGGTGGAGATGGAGGAGGAGGACGGGATGGGCGTGAGGGAGGAGGTGATGGTGGTGCCGCCCGCCGTGGAAGTGGCCACGGGCCGCGGGTTCGACTCGCACGACCCGACCCCGCTGGTGGAGTCGGTGGCGTTGAAGCTGGAGCCCCGGCTCTTGCTGCGGTTTGAGCCCTCGCTGCTGCTGCTGCTCTGCTTGCTGAAGCCCGCTGAGCTGGACCCTCCCCCGCCCACCTGGGAGCTGCCGATTCTGAAGCTGACCACTTCGCTCTCCGCTGGAGTTTCCAGGCAGCTCTTCTCCGAGGAAGTCCGTGTGGGAGACAGTAAGTTTGGTGAAGTCACACTATGGGAGCCGGCAACTTCCACTTCTGAAAGTTTCTCAAGAGATTGGGTAGCTGCTGTTACGGCTGATGTCGCCGTTGTTGTTGTCTCACTCATCGTTGGAGCGTCCTGGTCGTCCTGGGAGGGATGCCGGAGGTGGTGATTATTGTTGTCCTCCGTCTTCTCCTTCTGCTCCGAATGCTGGCTGGCGTTAGAATCACAGTGATCGGACAGCGCAGAATCCCCGTCTGAGCTGGTCCTCAGTCTGACCACGGGCGAGGCGATGAGCTGTATCGAGTCCCTCGAAACCCGGTGGTCGCTCTCAGCGCCGTTCACAGAGTCAGACCTCACAAACTCACACGAAATCGAGTCCACGTCTAGTGGCTCTGACCCACTTTTGCGGCCCGAAACGGAGGCCGGGGCCGGGATTTTTTTGTCAGTGCTCATGGCCCTGGGGCGATACTCGGCGGCCGCACTCTTTCGAGGCAGCGCTTTCTCCGATTTTGAGCGGGTGGGCAAGGACTGGAACCGACGAAAGTCTTCCGACTCGTTGGGCAAGTTTTTGGCGCGACTGGCGGCGGAGGGCACGACTAGACTGGGCGGGGACGTGTAAGGCGGAATGTTGTGGTAGTTGTGAGGCGTGGAGTGCCGCAACAACGACGAATGAGCCGAGGAGCGGGAGCTGTTGCTGCTACTGGCGGTGGCGGTGGTGGCGCCGCTGCTGGTTCGGAGCTGCGTCTCTTCCTGGATCTGCGACAGGCCCATGCTCTCATAGGAAGACAGGCGGCCCCGCTCCCCGTGCACCGCGGCCGAGCGGAAGTCGCTGAGTCGCAGAGCCTCCTCCATGGGGCCGTGCATCCAGCCGTCCTGGTCCAGCACAGGGAAGATGTCCTGAAACAAGCAAAAAGTTTTAAACGTACGTGTTTTTAAAGCCCCCATTTGTTTTAAATGCAGGTGTTTTAAAAGCCCCCATTTGTTTTAAATGCAGGTGTTTTTAAAGCCCCCATTTGTTTTAAATGCAGGTGTTTTTAAAGCCCCCATTTGTTTTCAATGTAGGTGTTTTTAAAGCCCCCATTTGTATCAAATGTAGATGTTTTTTAAACCTCCATTTGTGTAAAGAGTGGGTGTTTTTCATGCCCCCATTTGTGTTCCACACAATGTGCATCATTCACAAGGCGGGTTTCTTTGACGTTGTGTGCCATCATTTACAGGGCGGGCTTCTTCGACGCTCCATCATTCACAAGGCGGGTTTCTTCGACGCTGTGTGCCATCATTTACAGGGCATGTGTCTTCGACGCTGTGTGCCATCATTCACAAGGCGGGTTTCTTCGACGCTGTGTGCCATCATTCACAATGCGGGTTTCTTCGACGCTGTGTGCCATCATTCACAAGGCGGGTTTCTTCGACGCTGTGTGCCAGGGCCAACCACGGTTGAGACGGAGAAGGGACAAACAAGACCAAGGATAAAAAATATTGCCTAAAAAAAAGTACAATAAAAAAAAAACACACAAAAAACCCAAAACAAAACAATCTTACGACTCACTTTTCGCGTGTGACACCGGCACTCCCAGCCCAGCTCACTCAAGATGTCCGCTCCTTTCCGCGTGCAGGCTATGAGACCCAGCACAAAGAACGTCGTGCTGACCACAGAGAAAACACACAGGGAGTTACACTTCTGACTTCAATGACATCAACGCACAAAGTACATCTCAAATTTGCCGTAAGCTGACAAAACGCCTTTTTAAAAAATTCCTAGCAGTTTTGAGAAAAAGAGTTTTTTTTTGTCAGCATAACATTGAAAAATAGAGTACTTCCGAAATTTGAATTCTAATTCATTCAAAAACTAGTCACAGTTTCACTTGAATTTTTTCACACAAGTAGGGGAACTGATCAGGCTTTCGATTTAGCAAATAAAAATGTTTGGCACCAAATTGGCAAAAGGCGTTTCGTCAGCTTACGGCAGAAATGTCAATATTATCTCTACATCAAAGGCTCTATGAAACATAGTTCATTATTCAGTGATTATGAGCATTGTAAATCTTTATTTTATTTTCGTACAAGATATTTCAATGTAATATAGCCTTTCCTTGCTTGGTTTGCCTGTTCTCGAGCATTTTCCAACACACTATGGAGAAATCAGGTAATTTCCCGGACACCATGGGCTATTTGTCAGCCACACTTGGAGGGGAAAACTATTCTATTATGTGATGAGGACCAAGGGCTTAAACACTGAATAAACCTACTTTCTGAAAATGTATACGTTTATGGCCTTTCCTTGTTTGGTTTGCCTGTTCTCAAGCATTTTCCAACGTAAAAATAGGGTGAAATCATATGATTTCCCTGACACCACAGGCTATTTGGTCGCTTTTAAGCACAAGGGGGCTATCCCGAAAAATGCTGTTTTTGAGAAAATCGAAGGTAAAGTTTTTGCCCCTTGTTCAGTTTCTTTAAAAGGCAAGGAGAGTTTTCTCTATAACCAAACAGATATACACAGCAATGAAACCAAACTTCTCCTATAGGTAGGGCAATGCCCACTTTTGGTGTAGGTCAAGATTTTTGGGAACCCCCGAAATCTGGGTTAGGCCACTTGTCCTTGAAAAAGACCATTTGTCAGCCACACTTTGAGGGGAAAACTATTTTGTTTTAAAGTTCTTACCCCCGGACAGAGAAGACCCCGCACTCCTCGGCCAAACGGATCAGCTCAGGGATGATGTTCTCTGACTCCAGCCACGCCACGCCGTCCGCCGACAGACCGATGTGACCCTGTGGTTGTGTGTGTTTTTTAAGTCTTAGTAAGAGTTTTACAGCACTCGCAACACAATAAGGTCATATAACTGCCGAAGATTAGAGGTGTTACAAGAGAGTAACAAACATGAAAAAGAAGGAGGGGAGATAGAGACCATAGATTTTTTATGAGAAAGAAGGAGCAAACCACACCAGAGCACCCGCCAGCCACCCACACCCTGTGGTGTGATGGTGTGAGTGTTTTAAGTCTTAGAGTTTTACGGCACTTGCAACACAATGTCATAAAAGTGCCGAAGATTAGAGGTGTTACAAGAGAGTAACAAACACAAAAAAGGAGGAGGGGGAGACAAAGACGATAGATGTTTGATAGGAAAGAAGAAGCAAGCCACACCAGAGCACCCACCAGCCACCCATGTGGTGTTTGAGCATGCATGTGAGTGTGTGTGTGTGTATGTGAGTGCATGTGTGAGTGCGTGTGTGTGTGTGTGAGTGTATGTGTGTGCGAGTGTGAGTGTGTGTGAGAGTGTGTGTGTGTGTGTGTGTGTGTGCACATGTGTTGGTGGGGAGGGGGAGTTGTAGTGGTGATGGTGGGGGGGGAAATAAACGACAACAATAACAATCACAAGCCTTCATTTATAAAACAGGTTACCTCACTGGTCAGGTCAATACGAAAATTTACTAGACAGTTGACCATTCACAAAAACAAAACAAAAAAGTTCTGCCAAGACTTGTAAAATCGTCCTCTTTCGACAACTCTGTCCTTGACTTTCATCGATTTCTTCTGGGCCCAGTAGCGTAATGAAAAATATATTTACAATGTCACCACCTTTGTATCAGACTACTGAGAAATAAAAATATGATATGTTTTTGGTTTTAGTAGAGGTTTTACGGCGCTCGCAACAGCATAAGGTCATATGAGCGCCAGAAGAATAGAGGTGTTACAAGAGAGTAACAAACATAAAAAAGAAGAAGGGGAGATAAGGACGATAGATGCTTGATAGGAAAGAAGAAGCAAACCACACCAGAGCACCCACCAACCACCCACAAAAATATGATAGGGGGGAGACACGACAGTAAAAAAAATTAATTTTTTAAACATTTTCCAAAAAAGACTGACCACTGCCCAGAGCGCGGTCTTGAGAGTGCGTATGTCGGCGTCGTTATGCAGAATCTGGTTGTGGATACAGCTGAAGTACTCGAAGATACACTCCTGTGGAGGGGAGAAGGGAACAAAAAGGAGAATCGGTAATTGTATTGTACTGATAATTGGTTCAACTTTCAATATAGCAGGATTGTTTGTCTTTAGGGCAGGACCTCTGCTGCACTTAACACCTATCTCCTACAGAAAAAAAGCACAGGACCAAATGTTAGTTTTAGTTTTAGTAGAGGTTTTACGGCACTCACAACTGCATAAGGTCATAGGAGCGCCAGAAGATTAGAGGTGTTACAAAAGAGTAACAAACATAAAAGAGAAGGGGAGATAAGGACAATAGATGTTTGATAGGAAAGAAGGAGCAAACCACACCAGAGCACCCGCCAACCACCCACTTTAACTTTCAATATAGCAGGTTTGTCTTTAAGGCAGGACCTCTGCACTCAATACCTATCTCCTACAGGAAAAAGCACAGTACCAAACGTTTTAAAAAAAACAACCCAAAAACAAAACAGGCCTCTACACTTTATACCCATTTCCCACAGGACAACAAAACAGTTGTTGTTGTTGTTGTTGTTTTCAAATCCCTTCAGCTGCGAGCATTTCACTCTTGGCAGCGCAATGAATCCCTCAAGTACACAACAAAACAGAACAAAACCCCCCAAAAAACAAAACAGGCCCTCTATATATAATACTCATTTCCTACAGGACAACAAGACAGAACAAAACCCCCCAAAAAACCAACCCCAAAAACAAAACAGGCCTCTACATTTTATACCCATTTCCTACAGGACAACAAAACAGAACAAAACAAAACCCCTAAAAACAAAACAGGACCTCTATATATAACACTCATCTCCTACAGGACAAAGAACAGGACCAAAAAAACCCAAAACAAAACACAACAAAAAACCAACCACTGAGAGCAAGAAGACCAGACATAGCCTCCAACAATTCTCCACAACACCTCACCTGTTTCTGTTTCAGTAAGAGTTTTACAGCACTTGCAACACAAGAAAGGTCACGTCAGTGCCGAAGACTAGAGGTGTTGTTGCAAGAGAGCGACAAACACAAAAAAAAAAGGAGGAGAAGAGATAAGGACGGTAGATATATGTGAGGCATGCTGAAAAAATGAGTTACTTTTCGCAATCCACAAACGAAGATATTGGCCTAAAATTGACACTAAGGTCAAATTTGTAGACTTTCTATTGATGCCATATTCTTTAACTATAACCTGTCTTTTATAATAATAATAATTGCATTTATATAGCGCATATCCATGCTCAAGAGCTTGCTCTATGCGCTTTACAACTATTTATTATTTTAATCTTATTAATTGTAAAAACTTCACCTATAAGCGTGACGTATCTATTTCCTTAAGGCTTGAATCCGAGAAGCAACTCATTTTGTCAGCAAACTTCACATTTGATAAGGAAGAAGGAGCAAACACAGGAGAGCACCAACCAACCACCCACTGACTCACCTGTTTCTGCAGCAGCTCCAGCCCCTCGTTGTGCATGGTCAGCTGACCGTACAGACGGGGCCGGACCACAGCAGAGCACCCACCACCCACCCACCCACTCACTCACCTGTTTCTGCAGCAGCTCCAGCCCCTCGTCGTGCATGGTCAGCTGACCGTATAGATGGGCCGGACCACCCACCAACCACCCACTGATCCACTCACCTGTTTCTGCAGCAGCTCCAGCCCCTCGTCGTGCATCGTGAGCTGACCGTACAGATGTGCCGGCAGAAACACGTCCTTCTTGGGACCCCTGGCACACACACAAACAGAGGGAAAAGAAACTTTGTAGTTTTCGTTTTAGTAAGAGTTTTACGGCACTTGCAACACAATAAGGTCATATAAGTGCCGAAGATTAGAGGTGTTACAAGAGAGTTGTTTTCAAATCCCTTTAGCTGCGAGCATTTCGCTCTTGGCAGCGCAAGTTACAAGAGAGTAACAAACACAAAAAAAGAAGGAGGGGAGATAAAGACGACAGACGTTTGATAGGAAAGAAGAAGCAAACCACACCAGTGCACCCGCCAACCACCCATGAAAAAAACTTTGTAAAAATGAAGCTTTTTCTTTATTTTTCAACCATGAGAGATTGTATCGGCTATGAATGTTCGTTATGCCTTGCTGACATTTTTACAAAAGTTACATTCACAAGCGCAAAAATTAATGAATTAAAGATTAAAATACAAAGCACAACATAAAATCTTATTCTGATCTCAAATCTTTTGTTTTTCGGTGAACATAACTTACCATTTGCAATATTTAATCAACAGCTAAATTCTTCAGCAGACTTAAAACAGTCCATGCTAGAAAATAATGCTAAAGAAAAGAGATGAAATAATTAATAATAATAATAATAATAATAGATAGCATTTCTTCAGCGCAAATTCCTGCTCAATAGCAAGCTCTATGCGCTTCACAATCTATACTATTACCCCAGCAGACGTGATAGCATTCTGAAACAATCTCAACTTTCTGGGAAGCATACAGTGCAGATGTACTCACTTCAGAATGGACCGTCTCGGACAAGAGCCAGAGAAAGTTTTCTCGTAGGTCATGAGAGCCTCACTGAGCATTTCCTCCACGATATCGACATACTGCGCATTGAAAGACTGCAGAAGAGAAAACAACATTTCCTCTCAGACTCTCATAGTAGAGCACACAATGCTGGGGGACAAACATTTACCACACAAAAAGAATAAAAAGGACAAAATGGTCAGAGTAATTTTTAAAATTGTTTTTACGGAAAATACATTGCTTCACCTAAAAGTGAATAAAAATCTATACCTCTGCATTTGAAATGAAAAAAATAAATTAAAGAGACATATTTAAAGAAGTGAATAAAAGTTAAAAAATGAGGCGGGGAGAAAGACAAGATCTGTGACTGGTGTACTACTCCTGGGATTTGCTACTCTTCAATCACAAGTTGTTGTTTTGTTTTTTTGTGCATGTTTTCTTTTGTCAGATTACAGATGTGTATATGTGCATTTGAGAAGATTGTTGTACAGGGAATGGGCCAGTATGCATGAAGTGTGTCACTGTGTTAGCTGTCAATTTATTTTTAAACATTTTTTTGGCGATGCCACGCGCCTAGAGCCACCAGGGAGTGGGAGCAAGAGAAGTATCCGCATCATTACTACTACTATTATTATTATTATCATCAAATCTTTTAATTCATTCAAATGTCAGCTAAAGTCATTTCTGTATTTAAATTAATTAGATAAATATTTAGAGAGTGATTTTCTTTAGGTCAGATCACAGTGTATACTGACTATATGTCACGGTTCTATTGTAAAGCACTCAGAGCCTGTGCACTTTAATCAGGGTTGAGCACTATACAAAGGCCTTATATTATTATTATTATTATTATTATTATTATCATTATTATTATGATGATTATCATTATTATCAAATAGACAAACATTTCATTTAATTTTAGTAGAGGTTTTACATCGTTCACAACTGCATAAGGTCATATAAGATAGACAAACATTTACGAGACTCAACAAAAATAAAAATAGAAACCGCCCACAGCACGTACCTGATGCCATTTTTCCAGCTGGCTAGAGATGAAGTTGGCGTCGTTGAGGGCCCGGAAGCCCTGGACGGTGGAGACAAACCTCGACAACAACATCACGCCTTTCTCGCCCAGGTGGAGCAGCGACGGCCGCAGCTTGATCAGGTTCTTCAGACTTTCCTGGGGGGGAAAACAACACCACAACGATGTTTTACATAATACAGTCGAAATTGTCAAAGAGGTCCACCCATTGTCAAGGAGAAAATTGTTCGTCTGAGACAGGTGGTGTACAGTGTCATTATGATGTGGGGGGGGGGGGGGGGGGGGACTGACCTTGGCAAATAAACGTGTAGCCAAAAGAAATATTTTTTTCCACATTACTAATAGATCGCACAAATATAGCAAATAAAAATGTGTACTTTCAGGCCATTTGCAACTGAGTAAGTCATACAATATCAGAAAGAAATGGAAATAAAGAAAAGAAAAATCAGGTCTGCCACAAATCTAATCAGCTTTCTCAACAGGCCAAAAGAAAAATTTTTTTTAATGAGAGAGGTTCGATTTTATAAAAGCAAATGACAGACCTGCATATGTTTTCATTGAGGTCTTCACCGTCACATCGCTTACGTTCTTTTTTTAGTTTTAGTAAGCGTAAAAGTGCCAAAGAATAGATATGTTACAAGAGAGTAACATACACAAAAAGAGAAGGAGGAGAGATAAGGACGATAGATGTTTGATAGGACAGAAGAAGCAAACCCCACCAAAGCACCCGCCAACAACCCATGGTTTACAGACTTCCAGTACGCACCTCGTTGTCCGAGGCCTCGTCGAGAATGTTGAGCGCCGACATTGCCACGCTGGGCTGCGTGTCATAGAGCTGCGTCACCAGTAGCTCCACGCCCCAGCTGCTGAAACCTGGCGTGCCCGCACGCATGAGAACTCGCAACATCTTGGTGGCGTAGAGACGACACACCTGAAGAACGTCACAGCATTTGCTCATTTGATCTTTCTTAGTAAGCGTTTTACGGCACTTGCAACACAATAAGGCTTCTTCTATTGGTTGTTTTCCGGTTTTAGTTCGAGTTTAAAGGAACTTACAACACAAATAGTTTTGGTAAGAGTTTTACAACACATGCAACACAATAAGGTCATATTAGTGCCGAAGATTAGAGGTGTTACAAGGAAATAACAAACACAAAAACAAGGAGGAGAGATAAGGGCAATAGATGTTTGATAGGACAAAAGGAGCAGACCTTATCACTTATTTATTTCTGACATATACAACATCACATAAGTTTTTCTAAAGTTTTAGTAAATAAGAGTTTTACGGCAATAGCAACACAGATAAGCCATAAAGGTGCTGAAGATTAGAAGTTTTACAACTGAGTGACATACAAAGAAAACCCAAGGAGAAGAGCTAACGCCGATAGATATTGGAAAGGAAAAGAAGGAGCAAACCACACCAGAGCGCCCACCAACCACTCACTAATGAATCATCACATCTTTTAGTTTTAGTTTAGTTTTAGTAGAGGTTTTATGGCACTCGCAACTGCATAAGGTCATATGAGCGCCAGAAGATTAGAGGTGTTACAAGAGAGTCACAAACATAAAAAAGAAGAAGGGGAGATAAGGACGATAGATGTTTGATAGGACAGAAGAAGCAAACCACACCAGAGCACCCGCCAATCACCCACCATCACATCTTTGGATCAATTAAGGAAACAACAGAGCGGCAATTGAAATACATCAGACAAAGCACAGAACAGACAGACAGACAGACAGACAGACAGACAGACAGCAAACAAATAGAAAGAGCAAACAGATAGACAGACTGAGACAATGCAATAAGTAAACACAACAGACAAACAAAAGAACAGAGAGACAGACAGACAGATAGACAGACAGACAGGCAGACAGACAGACAGACAGACAGACAGACAGACAATTCATTAAGTAAACACGGCAGACAAACAAAAGAACGAATAGACAGACAGACAACAGTCAAACCAAAGAACAAACCCACAAACAATCAGATGGACAGACAGACGGCGAGACAGAAGAAAGGGACTACAAAGACCTGAGACTTAAGCATGTACGTACGTCCGGCGTGCCGGTCAAGGAACTACAAACACCTGAAACTTAAGCATGTACGTACGTCCAGCGTGTCGGTCAAGGAACTACAAAAGCCTGAGACTTAAGCATGTACGTACGTCAAGGAACTACAAAGACATGAGACTTAGGCATGTATGTACGTCAAGGAACTACAAAGACCTGAGACTTAAGCATGTACGTACGTCAAGGAACTACAAAGACCTGAGACTTAGGCATGTACGTACGTCAAGGAACTACAAAGACCTGAGACTTAAGCATGTACGTACGTCAAGGAACTACAAAGACCTGAGACTTAAGCATGTACGTACGTCCGGTGTGCCGGTCAAGGCCTTGGACAGGATGGGCCGCGTAGACCCGTCGGCGGTGAAGCTTAGACTTGAGATGACCAGCTTCACATACAGGAGGTTGATCGACTGACACATCAGCTCCAGGAAGCTGTGGGTATCGGAAAAATATCACATAAATAGCGACATTATGATTGTCAACTTTTCAAGACCAATAAAACAGAATATCACATAAATAGCGACATTATAACTGTCAACTTTTCAAGACCAATAAAACAATATCACATAAATAGCGAAATCATAGCCGCCAACCTTTCAAAATCAAAAAAGCTACACCACAGCTGTCAACTTTTCAAAACTAAACACCCCCCCTCTCCCAGAAATATCACATAAAAATGTCAAGAGCACATTGAGAAACAACATCCAAACTTAAAAGTTTAAAAAATCAAGACAAGGACCCACCTTTGGATGATGCCGCACTTTTCTAAGTAGATGCAGCCTCGCTTTGTGGCGGAGAACCTCCCGATGAACAGGAAGTAGTACCTGGACATCTTCTCGTGGAGCTTCTTGGTACCAAACATGGCGTTCTCGTCCACGGGCACGTTCAGTTTTGTCACCTAACGGAAGACGAAAGGACGGAAATAATAGTCAGCCACACGCGTGTGGTAATACCAAAAAAAAAGGGTCAATATAATAACATATAACTATCTCACATCTCATAAATCAACATTCAGAAAGTTCAAACAATTTCTGTCAATACGAACACAATTTCATTAGTGAAAAACATTTTTCAAATAGATTTTTTACACAAACCATTCAGAAATGGTTCATGAACTAATACTATTACCCTTTCCGATAAGTCTCACTCGTTACAACAGAATTCCTCCCAGCCTGACTCGGCCCAGTGACAGAAATATGCAATGTTTGACCCATGATAAGAGATAATAATGTGCACAACCTGTCCTTTTTTTATTATGGAAACATTATTTAACAAATGTGAGACATTTATGATAGGATATGTCGGCGATAAGTTTTAGCTGATATTGTGACTGAAGCATCGGCGATAAGTTTTAGCTGATATTGTGGCTGAAGCATCGATAAGTTTTAGCTGATATTGTGGCTGAAGCATCGGCGATAAGTTTTAGCTGATATTGTGACTGAAGCATCGATAAGTTTTAGCTGATATTGTGGCTGAAGCATCGGCGATAAGTTTTAGCTGATATTGTGACTGAAGTTTTTGACTGTTCTGACGTTTCACTACTTACTTCCTTGAGGTTTTCTGCAATGTCTGTCAGCCACTCCGTAATAAGTTTCACTGCCTCATCCTGAGGAAGAGGAAAGTTCAGTTTTAGTAGAGGTTTTACGGCGCTCGCAACTGCATAAGGTCATCATATGAGCGCCAGAAGATAAGAGCTGTTACAAGAGAGTAACAAACATAAAAAAGAAAAAGGGGAGATAAGGACGATAGATGTTTGACAGGAAAGAAGAAACAAACCACACTAGCACACCCGCCAACCACCCACGAAGAGGAAACAAAATGATAATTTAAAATTAGATAAGAATAGGCAAGGTAAGGTAAGACAAGATATAATAAATCTGTAACAGCAAGAAGCCGGTTCATTAGTTCCTTGTCTCACCACACACAGTAGTCTAGGTCAAAAAAAAAAAAATATATATAATCATGAAATGTTTTCATCAGCACCTCCGATTTGAATAACTAATCCAGTCTCTCCTCCGGCAAGACTAAAATAGCCCTCTAAAAAGATTGCGTAAAACCACGTTAACTATCTATGCACTTTCAAGACTTTACGAGAACACTCTCTCCTTGAGCTCACAAAAGAGGAACAAATTTTGCATTGACAAGAAATCTGAAATTTGAGAGAAATGCAATAAAAGTCAAAAAAGAGATAAAAGATGACATGCAATAGAGAGGAGGCAAAAAAGATGATCAAACGCAAGAAAAACTGTTTTAGATAGGCGACTGAAGAAACTCAAGAGAAACGCATTAAAAGATAGTTTTACAAAAAAGACAAGCTTCAAGTGAGCTCGTTAAGAAAAAACAAGCCTCTGGCGCGCTCTCCCCCCCCCCCATCCCAAATATCTCTCTCTGTGTCTCTCTCCCTCTGTTTCTCTCCCCCCCCCCCCCCTCTCTCTCTCAAACTCCTGCACGCACACCACATACAAACATCAGAACAAACGCCACTCGTCACACAGAAATAAAGCTAGCAAGGTTTCACACGGAAAAAATAGTTCCCGTTCTCCGATTACTCCCGGAGAGGTTCTTACAGACGCGGACGCGATGAGAAAGTCGATGAGGTAGCTGGCCACGATGCACATCTGCCGCTTGTTGGGGTCACCGATGTCCATCTTGGAGAAGAGCTCATTCTCCGGTTTGTAGAAGGAAACCAACCGCTTGACGAACCTGCCACACGAGGGGAAAAAAAAGATGGGTTTAGTTTTAGTAGAGGTTTTACGGCGCTCGCGACTGCATAAGGTCATAATATGAGCGCCAGAAGATTTAAAAGGTGTTACAAGAGAGTAACAAACATAAAAAAGAAGGGGAGATATTTGTTTTAGTAGAGGTTTTACGGCGCTCGCAACTGCATAAGGTCATATGAGCGCCAGAAGATTTAGTGGTGTTACAAGAGAGTAACAAACATAAAAAAGAAGAAGGGGAGATAAAGACAATAGATGATTCATAGGAAAGAAGAAGCAAACCACACCAGAGCACCCGCCAATCACCCACTAGAAAAGATGGTGAGTTTCAAAAAGTTTCCAAAAGAGAACAGCTTGGATATGATCCAATCAATATAGAAAACTTCCTTTTTTCTGTGGGAAAAAGAAAGGAAGAAAAAAAAAGGTACACGTACGGTGTTTTCTCTTCAATAAGACATGAACTAAAGAATTTTAAACTTAAAGCATGAACTATAGAATTTTTCATTTAACTTTAAGACATGAACTTTACAATTTTAGAAGACATAAAGACAGTCACGGCCGTACTATTCACTGTTAAGTCAAAATTTTCCAGTACCGCTACCCTACACAGAGGAGAAAAGTGGTGTCTTAAACAGGGGACTATTTAGACAGTGTCATTACAGTCATCATCATCATCATCATCCAGTGCCAGATCTGTGACAGACATTGGCGATCATGGTTCTCCATTCATTCCTTTGCTCGGATGCTCTAAAAAAAGCTATGTTTCCCTGATCTTTCCCCGTTACCCGTTTGTTTAGATTCCCTAAATATGTTGTCCTGCCTCATTTGCCCTCAATTTTACCATTGAGAGCTAGATATAATACCAAAAAAACTCTTGGGGTGGGGGGTGGGAAGTGGTCGCTTGTACAATAAAGATTGTCTTGGACAGGTGGCCGTTGGAGCAGGTTCGGTTCGACTATACTACTTACTTTTGGTGGTTCTGGTCATCCAGCTTCTTCAACTTCTCATCTGGCGACTGTACACAAAAAGAAAGGAAACAGAACAGGTTCTGAGTCTAGTTTAGTTTTATAGAGGTTTTGCGACACTCGCAACTGCATAAGGTCATATGAGCGCCAGAAGAATAGAGGTGTTACAAGAGAGTAGCAAACATAAAAAAGAAGAAAGGGAGATAAGGACGATACATGTTTGATAGGAAAGAAGAAGCAAACCACACCAGAGCACCTGCCAACCACCCACGGTTCTGAGTCTGACAACAAACAGCTGGGAAATTCAATGTGTTCTTATAAAGTAAAAGCTGCACTCGAGTTACCCTACAATAAAAGCATAGGCAACAAACAGCTGGGAAATTCAATGTGTTCTTACAGTGTAAAAGCTGTACTCCGGCTACGCTACAGTAAAAACAATGACAACAAAAGGCTGGATAATTCAAAGTGTGCTTATAAAGAACAAGCTGTATTATGCTAGAATAAAAACAATGGTAACAACCAGCCGGATAATTCAAAGTGTGCTTATAGAGTAAAAGCTGTTCTCCGGTTACGCTAGAGTAAATACAATGGCAACGAAAGGCTGGATAATTCAAAGTGTGCTTGAAAAGTTCAAGTTCCACCCAGGATGTGCAATGATAACAACAATGGTAACAAACATTTCATTATAAAACAAATGTGATCAAAAAGCTGAGGGCTTGTATCAACTCCACTCCAGAATTGTTTTGGTGTCCAAAAGCAGTCAATATATTAACATAGAACTATCATACACCTCACAAACCAGACATTCAGTAAATTCAAACAATTTCTGTAAATATGAACACAATTTCATTAGTTAAAAAACATTTTTCCAAAAGATTTATACCACACCATTCAGAAAAAGCTCATGAGCAACACCTCGTCCCACTTTTAACAGTGGCTACAGTGGCTATCAAGACTCGGAATCGTGAGACTGTAGATTCGGGGCTTCGAGGTTCAGCTCAGTCCAACGTTGTGTCCTTTGGAAAGGCACTTTACACGTATTTTCCTATTTGGCTCAGTCTTATCTCAGATGGACAGTAATAAATTTCAGAAGTCTCGCCTCTTAAATAAAGCTTACAGTTTTGCAAAGGGATTTTCTTCTTCTCGTTCATCTCTAGATGGACGTCTCTGGTGCGAAGGCTGCTGTTCACCACAGGTCCTCCAGGCCTCCCATAGAGTTTTGGGTCTCTCTTTAGTTTCAGTAAGAGTTTTACGGCACTTGCAACACAGTAAGGTCACATAAGAGGCGAAGAATAGATGTGTGACAAGAGAGTAACATACACACAAAAAAAGGAGGAGAGATAAGGACGATAGATGTTCGATAGGAAAGAAGGAGCAAACCACACCAGAGCACCCACCAACCACCTACTGGGTCTCTCTGCCTAGGGTTGGGCCAATATTTCTTTCAAAGTGCCACGAGCATTGGCTCTCTCTGCCTAGGGTTGGGCCAATATTTCTTTCAAAGTGCCACGAGTACTGGGCTGGCTTGCACCAGAGCAAGGGGATTAACTCTTTAAGCCCTCAGTTTTTCCACCGTTTCTCAGAGTTTTTTCTACAGTCACCTAAACCTGGTGCACTATGTCTCATTATAACACCAAAAGCTTGCCTCCAACTTCTAAAGAGTGGAAACAAAGGCTTTGTCATTTCTAAAAAACTTGGTTCGGGAATAGTTCCGAAAAAACAAGCAAATAAAACGAAACAATTGTCACTAGTACTGGACGCTCCCAGCGTCCGATGGGGAACAGAGTTATTATAGCCAGACGCTGATAGCGCCCGATGGGGAACAGAGTTATTACAGCCAGACGCTGATAGCGTCCGATGGGGAACAGAGTTATTACAGCCAGACGCTGATAGCGTCCGATGGGGAACAGAGTTATTACAGCCAGACGCTGATAGCATCCGATGGGGAACAGAGTTATTACAGCCAGACGCTGATAGCATCTGATGGGGAACAGAGTTATTACCGGCAACCACTCCCAGCGTCTGATGGGGAACAGGGTTATTACCGGCGGTCGCTCCCAGCGTGTGATGGGGAACAGAGTTATTACCGGCAGCCACTCCCAGCGCCTGATGGGGTGCAAAAGAGTTAAACCTATACACTTTCGCACATCTCAATTTTTTTCCCTTACCTTTAAGAGAGCAGCAATGGCCGGCCACTCCCACTCGGCGACTGTGATGGTGGTATTGACAAGGGAATCTTTGATAGCTTGATTGGTGGCCTCCTCAGTGGAAACCTGTGACATCGGAGAGATTAGAAAGGTCAGACACAGAAAAACAAAACTTGGTGATCTCACACCAATATCTAAATTAGTTTTAGTTTTAGTATGATTTTTACGGCACTTGCAACACAATAAGGTCATATAAGAGCGAAAGATTAGAGGTGTTACAAGAGAGTAACAAACACAAAAAAGAAGGGGGGAGAGATCAGGACCATAGATGTTTGATAGGAAGGAAAGAAGGAGCAAACCACACCAGAGCACCCGCCAACCACCCACCATCTAAAATAAGTCAGGCCTCAGGGGAAAGTTATTAAGAAGGACCTTACGACAACACGAGATAGCTATGTAGTACTCATATTGACAACCGCTCCTGTTTTCGTTACGTTTACCTTCTTGAAATAATGCTCACAACAACTCCTCTCTCTCCACACCCCTAGAGAGTTTTCTGTTTCCGTTATGTTTACCTTTTTGAAATACGACTCTGAAAGCTTTTGTCTGTCAACTCCTAATTTACCTCAGTGTTTTCTGTTTTCGTTGTTACCTTCTTAAAATAATACTCGGAGAGCTTCTCTCCCTATGCTCCAAGTGTTTTCTGTGTTTTCGGTTTTTCCGTTTTCGTTATGTTTACCTTTTTGAAATAATACTCGGAGAGCTTCTCTCTCTATGCTCCTAGTGCTTTCGGTTTCCGTTATGTTTATCTTCTTGAAATAATACCCTGAGCTTCTCTACCCATGCTCCAAATGTTTTCTGATTTTGCTTATGTTTACCTTTTTGAAATACGACTCTGAAAGCTTTTGTCTGTCAACTCCTAATTTACCTCAGTGTTTTCGGTTTCCGTTATGTTTACCTTTTTGAAATAATACTCGGAGAGCTTCTCCCGGCGGAGGTGCCAGTGCTTGCTGGTGACCTCTGACATCTTCCCAGCATGCTGCAGGAGCTGGTCCAGGAAGAGGGTACAGGGGACGCGACCCCGCTTCATCATCTTGTGGAACCTTGTCAGACACATCACAGCCTGGTACGCTTGGCTGGGGGAGAGAGAGAGGGAGAGAGTGAGAGAGTGAGAGAGAGAGAGTGAGTACGTGTGTGTGTGCATGTGTGTGTGAGGGGACGCGACCCCCGTTTCATCATCTTGTGGAACCTTGTCAGACACATCACAGCCTGGTACGTTTGGCAGGGGGGGAGAGAGAGTGAGTAAGTGAGTGAGAGAGAGAGAGACAGAGAGACAGACAGACAGAGAGAGAGACACAGAGAGAGAGAGAGAGAGAGAGAGAGAGAGAGAGAGAGTATCAGGCCGTGTGACTGTTCTACACGCACGTCGACATGCAAGCGTTAAATCCACACCTACCACGACCAGAGCATGATGGGTATGAACCTGAGCCTATCTGAATATACTCAGAAAGCCTAGGTGTGAACTTGTCGCACCACTGTAATAGGATTGATGCAGTTTAGCTTCAAGGCAGGCTGAGTAAGCATTACGGAAAGGAAAAAGTGTTATTGTTGCTTAATGGCTTCAGCTACCGCTCCTAGCTCAAGACCGCGCAAGGGGAACCTTTCACTCCCCGAGGCTATTGTGAAAATGAACTGATTACATCAGCAATTTTAATTTTAGTGGCCGCTTTTTATTCGATGTCAGTTCGCAAAGTAAAATTCTAAAATGTGACCCTAAAAAGCAATATTTTGAAAATAATTATTATCAGAATTGGTGGAAAATTAGTTTGCTCTTGACGACAAAAACAATACGAAAAAAGTAAGAACTAAAGAGCGTTTATAAAGCATGGTAAACGCAGCAAACTCGACGGCCGTCCAGTCAATTGCGTTCCACATTTTTATTTTTATTTGCACTTCGCTACCATGGAACTACAAAATTCTATCTGCTCAGTAGCTAGTTTTGAGAAATTTAACGCCAAAGCTTGTGAGTTTCACTTAGA